CTCAGAGGGGGTGGGGCCTGAAGGGGCAGGGTCCAGGTGGGCATTAAGTCAATGCAGGCGTTAAGTGGGTGGGGGCCATCTCCTGGGCAGTAGAGGGTCCTGCAGCAACCAGAGCCTGAGGACAGGATATGGCCCTGGGCCCTGGGCCCCCTCCCTTCCCGCTGTCCTGCCCTGGGTCTGGGACACACACTCTGGAGCTGAGGGGCCCAGGATGCTGGCCATGGTCCACGCTGGCCACCCATGTGTCCTTACCCTGCGGGTCTGCAGTGCCGCTTCCCTGACACTCTCCCACCTGCTATGAGGCCTGGCAACGTTGGTACTGGCATAAGGCCAGGGTGGGGAGGCAGCAGAGCCAGGGTAGGGGCTCCCTCAGGGCCCTCACTGGGGCCCGTGCTTGGCCTCCCCTCTATGGGCCAGGATGGGGGCCCTGTTGGGGTGGCCACCAGGTGTCTTGGCCTGGTGGGTGAAGGTCCCGCCTTCCAACCACCTCTTACGGTAGCTCTAGGACTGAATCAGCTGGACAAGAGCATCCAGTGTGGGAAGGAGGCTGGGGGATGGGGCCAGGGGATGGGCTAGGGTCCCAGGTTGGGTTCCCCAAGTACAGGACTTGCTGAAGGAGGGCGAGGGAGACAGGTGAGGGTCCAGAGCGGGCACCAAGAGTCTCCCGGGACATGGGTTTGGGCAAGCAAGGCCCCTGCTTTGGGTGGCTGCAGGCACAAATGTCCTCTGGTCAGCATGCCAGGCCGTGGTCTTTGCTTCTCTCCCCGGACACACTCTGTCCTTCCCCCGCCTCAGTTTCCCTGTTAGCACTGCTCTGCTCTAGATGGAGACCTTAAATCAGGGATGGGGAATGTCTGACCCAAGAAATTATTTGGTCTGGCCCTGCCAAGGCAACTGCAGGCGGGACTCAAAATTCACTAAATCTAGGAGCTTTCTTCATAGCTAATTTTTAAGTTGATAATTTTGTATGGCCCTCGAATGATGTTATAAATATCCAAATGGCCCTTGGCAGAAAAAAGGTTCCCCACCCCTGCCTTAAAGGCTCCAGGGCCAGAGGCACCTGGCCTGCCAGTTCCCTGCCCCCAGCAGCCAAGAGAGGGTCCCACACCTGGGCTAGGACCAGGGCGCTGGGGGGTCTGCCAGGGGTGTGAGGAGGCACAAGTGAGGGAAGAGGGGAGGGCGGTGAAACACAGACGATGGAATGAGGATGGCAGGGCAGGTGGACACTGGGCCGGCCTGGCCTTTAGGACCCATACAGAGGCACAGAGGTGACCCAGCAAACTGGGAAAGGGCCCACTGAGGCCCCAGCTGGTGGCAGGGAGCTCAGAGAGGCAGGACATGGGCTGGATGCTGTGCTCCCTGGACACCAAGCCTCAGAACGTGCCTCACAGCAACCCCACACCTCACCACCATCCAGACACACACTGCACACCCTCAGAACAGATGGAGACTCCCACGGGTGCCGCCATGGGCTCACCCACACCCACACCGGTGCGGCCCACACCCCACCAGGTACCCTTGGTCTCCCGGGCTCCCAGCGCCTCCAGGCCTGGGAACCCCTTTCCCTGTGTGGCTTCTCTAGGCCCAGCTGGGAAGCCCCTGCTCTGACTGGGGCCTCAGGTGCTCTCTGTCCTGCTCAAGGCCTGACAGTCACAGGCCCAGCACGGGTGCCAGGGTGCTGTTGCGGGGGTCTGGGGGCCAGGGCTCCAGGCAAGACGGTAGTCACCTCTCTCCCACAGCCGTGGCCCGGGGCCAGCCTGCCCTGTGTCCAGCGACTCGACCTGGGCTCTGGGCCTGCACAGCTTGTCCAGGGCGGGGAGCTGGCCGCTGACCGTGTGAGTGGGCACAGGGTGCCCGTCTCAGCACCAGCCTGGCTCTCGCCAGAGGACGTAACTGCAGCCCCCTCCCTGCCCCAGTGGCGGGGCGGGACACCTTACCTGCCAGCGTCAGAGGCTACTCTCGTAGCTGGTGGCCACCTTCTGGCCTTTAAGCCCAGCACCCCAGCTTAGTCCTGGCGCTGGCGGGGAGGGTTCTAGGTGGACAAGAGGGGCCTTTCAGTGTGGTGTGCTGGGCCCTACCTCCCTGGGTGTGCGGGCTGCTGGCCCGCTAGCTGGGAGGCCCTGCTCCCTGGGGGGCGGCACACAGCCGGGGCGGGGCGGGGCNGCTAATTTTTAAGTTGATAATTTTGTATGGCCCTCGAATGATGTTATAAATATCCAAATGGCCCTTGGCAGAAAAAAGGTTCCCCACCCCTGCCTTAAAGGCTCCAGGGCCAGAGGCACCTGGCCTGCCAGTTCCCTGCCCCCAGCAGCCAAGAGAGGGTCCCACACCTGGGCTAGGACCAGGGCGCTGGGGGGTCTGCCAGGGGTGTGAGGAGGCACAAGTGAGGGAAGAGGGGAGGGCGGTGAAACACAGACGATGGAATGAGGATGGCAGGGCAGGTGGACACTGGGCCGGCCTGGCCTTTAGGACCCATACAGAGGCACAGAGGTGACCCAGCAAACTGGGAAAGGGCCCACTGAGGCCCCAGCTGGTGGCAGGGAGCTCAGAGAGGCAGGACATGGGCTGGATGCTGTGCTCCCTGGACACCAAGCCTCAGAACGTGCCTCACAGCAACCCCACACCTCACCACCATCCAGACACACACTGCACACCCTCAGAACAGATGGAGACTCCCACGGGTGCCGCCATGGGCTCACCCACACCCACACCGGTGCGGCCCACACCCCACCAGGTACCCTTGGTCTCCCGGGCTCCCAGCGCCTCCAGGCCTGGGAACCCCTTTCCCTGTGTGGCTTCTCTAGGCCCAGCTGGGAAGCCCCTGCTCTGACTGGGGCCTCAGGTGCTCTCTGTCCTGCTCAAGGCCTGACAGTCACAGGCCCAGCACGGGTGCCAGGGTGCTGTTGCGGGGGTCTGGGGGCCAGGGCTCCAGGCAAGACGGTAGTCACCTCTCTCCCACAGCCGTGGCCCGGGGCCAGCCTGCCCTGTGTCCAGCGACTCGACCTGGGCTCTGGGCCTGCACAGCTTGTCCAGGGCGGGGAGCTGGCCGCTGACCGTGTGAGTGGGCACAGGGTGCCCGTCTCAGCACCAGCCTGGCTCTCGCCAGAGGACGTAACTGCAGCCCCCTCCCTGCCCCAGTGGCGGGGCGGGACACCTTACCTGCCAGCGTCAGAGGCTACTCTCGTAGCTGGTGGCCACCTTCTGGCCTTTAAGCCCAGCACCCCAGCTTAGTCCTGGCGCTGGCGGGGAGGGTTCTAGGTGGACAAGAGGGGCCTTTCAGTGTGGTGTGCTGGGCCCTACCTCCCTGGGTGTGCGGGCTGCTGGCCCGCTAGCTGGGAGGCCCTGCTCCCTGGGGGGCGGCACACAGCCGGGGCGGGGCGGGGC